AATCTCTACGGAGTGCACCCATTCTACACCGTACTGGAAGCCGACGGTAAAGCACACGGAATACTGTTCCTCAACAGCAATGCCATGGGTTTGTGTTTGACGTTATTTATTAAATAATTTTTATGATATTTAATTATCAACTGTCCTTGGTAATAGAGTACGCATTTTTGCCGGAACCGGCGCTTTCATTGAAAACTTTGGGCGGAGTCCTCGACTTTTTCGTGTTTTTGGGCGATAATCCCGAACACGTGATACAGTTGTATACGTCGGTCATTGGACGTCAAACAATGCCTCCCTTTTGGGCACTCGGGTACCAACTGTGCCGATACGGGTACACCGGTACCAAAAACCTTAGGGAAGTCATTGACCGCAACTTGAAAGCTAAGATCCCCTTGGTAATTATTTATTTATTTACTAAAGCTTATTTATTTATGTAGCTAGTTAACTATTACTCCGCTTACCATAGGATACCATGTATATCGACATCGACTATATGGATAAATACGAGGATTTCACGTACGATAAGCAGGCGTTCGCTGGACTACCGGAGCTGTTCAAGGATACTAAGACCCAGAATCAACTTCACTGGACCCTGATCCTGGACCCTGGTATAGAGGGAAACAACAAACAGTACCAGACGTTTAACGAGGGCTACAAAAACGATGTGTTTGTCAAATGGCCTAAAAGTGTGGACCCGAAAGACCGGTTTAATCCACCGGACGTTCCCACCGATAAGGACACCGCCTATGGCAAGGTGTGGCCCAATGGCCCGGCCGCATTCCCAGACTTTTTCAAAAATGAGACCCTGGTGTGGTGGCAGGGACAGGTGAAAAATCTGCACGATATTCTACCCTTCGACTCACTATGGATTGTATGTAGCTAATTTATTAAAATTAATAATTCAGCTGATTAAATAAAAATTATATTTGTGACGTAGGATATGAATGAACCCTCAAATTTTCAAGCAAGGTGTCCGAATAACAAATGGGATTACCCGCCAATCAGATCATGTAATTGATAATTGATAATTATTTTTATAGATTTTTAAAACTTATTTTGAATATTGTAGCCGTCATATTTAGTAACAACCAGTTGTCAGCCTCGACATTATGTATGGTCACTGAGCAGGGTGAAAAGGGGGAGTACAGACATTATGACGTACACTCCCTTTACGGCCTAACCGAGTCGATCGCCACCCGAAAGTAATTAAAATCGAAATTTTTAAATTAAATTTTCGAGTAATTATTTTATATTTTAATTGCAACTAGGGCACTGGATGCCGCCACTGGCAAACGTGGTTTTGTAGTATCCCGTAGCAGTTATCCCACAGCGGGCCGGTATGCCAACCACTGGTTGGGTGATAACTCGGCTACCTGGCCCATGATGCACCATTCCATAGTGGGCATGCTCGAGTTCAACATGTTCGGGATCAGTTTTGTAAGTAGATAAACTTAATTTATTAACCTTAATAATCTAAAATAATTTTATAATTTCACGCTGGTAGGTAGGCGCCGATATCTGTGGGTTTATGGGCGCCACCACACCGGAGCTATGTCGCCGGTGGTCCCAATTGGGGGCTTTCTATCCCTTCTCGCGTAACCACAACGAAAAGACTGTTAGCCAGGACCAGGACCCCGGTGTTTGGGCCCTCCAGGGACACCCTGAGGTCACCGATGCCGCCAGAGCTTCCCTACAGCTCCGGTATCAACT